GCATACAAGTGCCTCACAGAGAAACCAAACTTGCCCCTGCCTTGGTCCACCAGGGATGCTCTCACACTGCTGAGAGAAGATGAAGGCTCCATCAGGAAGCACTTTATACCCCAGACTTCCAGGAACCACAACAAAGAAGTTACTAAAGACTAAAAAAAAAAAAAAAAAAAAAAAAAAAGCAACATATTATTCAATGTAAAAGTTGATCTCAAAGCAAGCTATGAAATCTGGCTTACAGATAAATATGTCCATTGTCCTTTTTTTCTCTTCCTCAAACCACTTTAAGTTCTACCAAATCTGTGGCTAACAGAGATACTGGCACATCCCTAGTCTATCCTCATGTACAGAGTATTCAACCTCAATGACTACAAACATGTCAGTTCTGTTATTTCCATCCCAGAGACGGAGAATGACCCTCCTTTCTTACCCATTAGGCCCTCACTGCGCAGAGAGGAGTCAAGGTGCCAACTTTTGATGGTCCCTGAAAACAGAGATGTCTCCATCTCCACTGATACCATCATCCTGAAAAGCCCTGCTTCCTGGTCACCAAATGGGGCTACCTTTAGCTTTTTATTGTGGGCACTTTCTCAAATGCACACCCATTTTTGCTGGGTTCTTCTGGAAGGCTTTCCCATTCTCTACCAACTCTTGCATTGTGGGGCCCCAAGGTAGGCAAGGGGTTTCCTCTCAAGAGCCTGATGAGGACCTTGAACTAGAACACAACACAGGCTTTCACTTTCCTGGACTCTATCTCCAGGAAGGTGATGGTCTGGGCAAAAGGGGGTGTTTCAGTCAATGTCAGGTGCCACAGGTGCACACAGCTTCACTCCCCACCCTTGCGTTCCAGGCAGTGGCAATTTCATCCTTCATTATTAGTCTCGCCTTTGCAGCATTGAGCAGACAGATGGGGAATGTGGGTGCTCAATTACCTTGGCTACCTGAGCAAACAGGCTTGTTTCACAGTGTTCCTATTCATTTTCAGGAAAGCAACTCAGAAAAACATAAACTGCTTTTAAAAAGAATCAGACCCAGAAACATGGCCACTCCCACCATGAGGCTGGGAAATACACCAAACTAAACTCAGTGCAGAATCTGAGGTATATCTGAACCCCTGCGGGGGAAGATCCTCCTCAACACCCTCAGTGTGGCCTTGGGGACACAAGCCTCTGGGAGCAGCCAGTGGGCACCTGGGGAGATGACATGCTTCTTGGTTAACATAGGAGGCTTTGAGCAAACCCACTTGGTTTTGAGTCCATCTCCACCCATCTGACTGAAAGACCCTGGAGCATTGTCCTGAGTCCTGACCAGTGTCACAGGGGAAATGGATCTTATGTGACACTATGATAAACAAATACATCAACGTGTCAGTTATCTTTATACAATATTGAGCAACAATCATATGTATTGGGGTTAAGCGTGAGTGACCCAGGAAACACTGAACCATGGCCTCACACTTAGTTCTCTGCTGTCTGTTTCTTCTGCATTGGTGGGGAGGCGACTATGACAGAACACGTTATTTCTACAACAAATTAATCTTCTCATGAGAAAGCTTTCTTATCCTTGGGAATGGCATAGCAGCAGAAAAGGAAAAGATGATTATGAAACAAGACCCGCCAGGGAGAAGCTGCTCTCCTGAGCCGAGCGGCATGTTCTTACCCAGTCAACTAAAGCATCCCCACTGCTCTAGGCCAGCGTTGCACAAACAGTGCTACACAGAACATTGGTCCCCTGAGATGCTCTCTGAAAGCAGTTTTGTGCCTAAATATGATGTGTAAACCCAGCAAAATGCAGCCCACCTGGTGGAGACTCAGAATGCATACACAAAGGCTCTGAGAAGCTTCACTGTGGAGAGGTTCACCATTCCCCACACACATGCGACCGCCTCTGCACTTATACAGAACACCTTGCTTATTCCAGAGGCCAAAGACCTCCACAGTCCTATCTGCCCAGCCTCCCCTCTCTGTGACTCACAACTCCCTGTGGACCACCGTGAAGGTCAAACCTGCCTTTGACCTGTCCCTGACTGCGTTTGTTCTTTGTGGCTTTAATACAACAGACATCTTGAAGTCATTTAACACTCTGCACTCAACCTGGTGTTCTACTGCGTTTTGTTTGTCCTGACCACACTGCCTGGCCTGTTCAAGTTTAACCTGCCTCTGACAGAATACTGTAACCAACCTTACATGCCTTGGGTTGTCCATAAAATCATCTTTTACAAACCTAAGTTAATGCCTAACTTAAAATTATGTACACCTCCATGGCCTTAACCCAGGTTTTTGTTGGTGTGTGTGTGAGCGCGTGCGTGCGTGCGTGTGTGCGTGTGTGTGTGTGTGTGAATGTGTTTGTGTGTGGCAATCATTTGCTAAAAGCAACCAACAGGTTGAAGGCAACCTTAAAACAAAACAACTCTCCCATACATGTTGTAAATAGGTGTTTGTAGTTTGATAATTTGTACAGTTTGGGGTGTTATTCTGGGTTAGCTGGGGTCAGTAAAGCAGCCTCCCTTGTAAGGCTCTGTTATATTTCTGTCTCATTTCTTTCCCATATTATGTTTTCTATGCTGTTCAGCAAACACAGAGCAAATCCCTTTGTTAAGGAAAAGTGTGCACACAGAGACACAGAACAAACACAGGCAACAGAGAGAGACAGAACAGACACATGTAACAAACAGATTACAGAGAGGCCAGTACCACAAACTCCAGACAGAAAACATGAGAAGGAAGAGAAGAATTAAAATCAGGACTTTCTCTCAGCCAAACTATTCTGAGAGGAACTGTCTTTATTCCTTAATGCAAAATCATTGTAAAACCTTCAATTGATATGTAGCAACTTCTGGAATTCCTAAGTGTCATTGGCTCAGTCAAAGACATCCATCAAGGAGCCAGGTGAGAGATGTGTCTCTCTGGGTGCCTGCTGTTTGAACTCTATGTCTCTTAGATAGTCCAGCACCCTGAAACTCCAACCTTCTGTTTGACAACCATAAAGAGTCATCCATCTGAAGAGGACAGACCTTCATCATCCTCATGCAAAACAAGTGCTTTCTTCTCAAGCGTAAGGCCTTGGTTAATCCCCAGGCCCCTCTCAACTGCTACACACAGGTACTGACCCATACAGGGCTGTGTGTTGGCTGACACACAACACACACCATTCTCCCCATACCAACTGATAAGAGGTTTGTATCAATAAGCAGGCAAGCAGGGAGTCTCTGGATCAAGCCCTGGAAGATGAATCTGGAGCATGGTCTTTGCCTTGTCACATTGGATAGAGAAAAGGTGGCAGTCGCCACATTTTGGACACACAGTTACAACTTGTTGTTCATTAGACTTCTTAGCTCTCTGATCATTTAGAATGAGTGATGATAGTTGCTTTCTCTAATGAAGGAGATTTTATATGCTGATCTGCACGATAGGAATATTATAAATTATAAAAGTCCTCCCTGGTGTAAGATTTAATTGGGCTAAAATTTATACTCTGAAATTCACTAAAGCAAACACCCCTTAAAATAGGATTCTTCTACAAAAAGCTCTCACTTCTTGAAAGTACATCTAACAACTGAAAAGGGTTAGACTAACTTTGTAACCTGTATGTCTTCTAAAGCCTATAGTTTTGAGTTTTAGGTTCAGGTTGAGCTAAAGCCTCTTAGTACCTTTCCAGAGAATGGAAAAATGTGACACTATCTATGAGGACAGATAGAAAAAAAAAAGGCAAGCAAGCAATGACCTTCACTCAGCAAAAAGAAAAACTCCTGTCTTTGAGATAGCATTTCTTAGCAACAAACCTAGACTTCTTCTGAGTAGCTTTTGACCTCCAGCCAACAGCCCGCAGCCCCTAATCTTCAAGGATGAGCTAACCACCCCCACCTTCAATTGCAGCTGCAGCCACACTTGGCAGGACTGGCCAAGCTTGAACACCTAAGACTAACCAATTATCTTACTTTATAGCTTCCTCATCCAATCCTAAATTGCCAAGACTGCAACTTCAAATCTCTCGCAATTTTTCTTTTAAAAACCTAAAGGCCTTTGTCTCCCGGTGCCACTCTTTGCTGACCGGCAGGGGTGACCCCATTGCGCAATGGTTAATAAGCCTCTTGCTTTTGCAACAAGTCTTGGTCTGGGGGAGTTTCTGGGAAGGGCGCGATCTTGAACTCCTGAGCTGTGAGATCCCAGGTCTTACATAACCAAAGGCCTTTATGATGCTGGGTCTCTACGAAGACATTCTCACTGCGGCAAGAAATATCAGCCTGCAGGGATTCCAGCACCATAGAACTAACTGGGAAATGCTTTTCCCCAGGCTCTGAGAAAACCATCTTCTTTTCCTTGTGACTGGATAGTTTTAGAGCATCAGGAAACCCATCCTCTGCTGCCAGATACATAGCTAGTATTCAGAACACACACACATACACATACATACACATACACACACAGAGAGGGGGGGGCAGGGACAGACAAAGAGAGACAAAGAGGGCAGACACAGAGACAGAGAGAGCTGTTCAAGCACGCAAACAGAACTCTACTTCCAGGCTAAAAACTGAAAAGCACTAAATGAAGCTGTTCTAAATACATTAAATACACACAGTTCTGATTTCCCGTCACAATGCTTGCTCCCTCAAAAAGTTGTCAAGGAGTCCTTGTTTCTTCAAGAGTCTTCAGTGAGAGGATGTGGGTTGGACTGCATTAAATGAGTGGTGATGCCATGAAATGGTGCTATTATAGCAGCAAGGGAGAAACGAAAGCAAAGAAGTAGTCAGGAACAGGAGATAAAGTCAGGGGATTATTCCACTGCTCAAAACCCGAAGTAAATCTAAGCGAGCACTATTCTCCAGGTACACATGAATAAGCATGAACAAGAGAACTGAGGTAGCAGGAACCTGGGGGCCTTCATTTCCAAGAGGCTGCTTGAGCCCCAGTCTCACCATGCTGTGAGCAACATCCATCAGGCAGAGTAGACACTCCCCTTCATGCCCCTTTCTCGGGGAACTCCTGAGCTGAGATGCTCCTCACCTGGCCATCTGCTTGTAGGCTTCTTCTGCCACAGCAAAGATGTGGGGGTCCATGTCACCCATATTTTGGCCACTGTAGGCGTAGATGACATCCTGTCCATAGATTGGCAGCTGCTCATATGGATTAATGGCAACAAGCACAATACCTGTGAACAGATAAGACATCAGCCTACAGCACACAGCTGAAGAACAGGAGGCCAAGAGGGAGTCTAACCCTCTCAACTACATAAAGAGTTGTCTTTGAGTGTCTATGCTAGGCCCTTGTGGTGAAAAGAATGACTAGGACACAGTTCCGGCCTCAGGCTGTCCCACAGGATCACCAGAGACACACCGACACTCACAAGCACCCAGTGGCTGAGTTCATCAAATAGACCCAAAGTGTTGCAGATGAGAGAGGAGGGTTAATGTAAAACTCCACCTAAGAATTAAAATCCTTCGTTTATATAGAAACTATATAAGCTTGTGGACCACACAATTTACCTGTCTTAAAGTCTGATTCTGACTTCACTGGGGCTGTGCACACTGGGTACTTGTTTGATTTCTGTGCCTCTCTTGCCTGTGCAAGAGTGGAGATAACAAACACTGGGACCTGAGATAACCTCAAGACAACACCGCCGCTGCCAGAGAGAAGGAAGCCCAGAGCAGTGCCCTGCAGGGAAGCCTCTGTGGCTCCTCTCTCTCTCAGATCATGCCCCACAGCCCTGCACCTGCACCTCCCAACATCTGCTCTGCAGCGGATTCACATGTGCTGACTGAGCGAGGAGGGAACCCTGTCAGGCTTTAAACATCTTTCATGAATAGGTGAGGCAAGTTGATAGCAGAATGTACAAAAGGAAAAAGAGCAAATTCTATCTTCAAGACATGATAGCAACGTCTTTTTCCCCCTCTATGAGACAACATTTCAGATATCCAAAGATCCACAAACTAAGGCACAAAAATAAATGATTTCTAGTCATCTTGAAAAGAGGAAGAGGGACCCTGCCAAGATGAGAAGTTTCTATGTTGTGTTCCTTCCTGGAGGTCCAGCAGGAAGAGACACACATGTACCTCTTTCAATAGGGGTTTGAAAATGAAAGTCAGAACCCTAGGAAATCCCACTGAAGCCAGTCACTTGGAGAACACTGTAAGGAGCAGCCACCCATGTTCTCGTTTTCAGAGAGCTCAACTGAACTCACAGGACACTCACTTGACATTTTAATCTCATATCCTGAGGGTCACCTATTTTTCTCAAAACACCCTGAGCCTCTCCAGAGCAGAGAGGAACATTTCCATAATTACTCCAATTTCTAGGTGGCAGTGGGCTCTGTTGGGAGCCAACAGGGCACTGGAACAGCTGAGGGACCTCTGATCTGTACAGACACTAAGGTGACTCCAGGGGGCATTCCTTGAGACCAGAAAGCTGATGAATATTTAGCCCCTTCTCCTAAAAAAGGGACGATTTACAACAACAGCTTCTTACTGAAAAGAGATTTTTCTGGAGTTTCTGATAGTTGATATTCCTTCTAAATCAACAGCCATTCCTAGATGGGGTGAAGGAGCTTTTGCAAACCATTCCCTCTCAGCTCTAAAACCTAGCAAAGCAGCTCACCTAGGCCTGCCTGCTAAGGAGTCAACCCCAAAGGCCAAGTGCAAATAAAAGCAGAAAATCCCTGGCCCTGAGCCCTCACACAAGTCACAGTAAAGCCAAGATCTTCATGACAATAGCTGCAAACATCCCACCCCACCCACAGTCTGTTCTCTGGGCCCTCACTGCTTTCCATGGACAACTAACTGCCAGAAGGTTCAGTTCTTAACACTTTACCAAACAATATTCAGGGGCAGAGAGAGAGAGAGAGAGACTGAAATTTGGGCTATGCACACAGAAATTTCAGGACTTTTTGTCGTAACCATTTGTCATTGATTTTGCACATTACTTGAACACAGTCTTCAAGCATCACATTTTTACCTCAGCAATGAGAACACCAGCAAGGAAGGCAGCCCTTTCAAGTAGAAGGGGCAAGCCAAATTCATGTGGTGGGCATGCTTCAGTGATGAGGGCATGCTTCGGGGTCAGGGTGCTATGACAGGCTTGCTCCTCTACCAACTGCAAGCAAGAGCCTAAACCAACTTCCCCAGCAGCTGTGGCCATCTCAGCTGTGGCTACTGTTAGCAACAGGCATCCCACTGACTATAAACCTCAGTGGGTCTCTGTGAAAAGTTCATACGAATGAGAGCAGAGCCATGACTCTTAATGTTTGAGTTTCATAAGTGCAGGCTAAGAATGATCATCTCTCTCTCTATCTCTCTCTCTCTCAAACACACACACACACACACACACACACACACACACGCTCAGCAGATGCCCCCACTTACCACAATAGGTGTAGATGTGGTTGGATTCCAGGAAACGGACCTTTAAGTTATGCAGAACTGCGGGCTCATGGAGATGGCTGAGGGCAGTGAGGTCATTTTCTCCTACTAAGATATCCGGGTTCCGCAAGAATGGCACCTGGTTAGCTTGGACATCGATTGGGTATTCTCGAATCTAGTGAGAAGCAAGCAACAGACACAAAAGAGCACAGTTATGAGGAATTTTGCTCTTATTTGGTGTCCTATCTTTTTGGTTGGGACACTATCCTAGCAAAATCCTAAGACATAATGATGAGTAATGTTCTAAAGAAAGGCAAGGTGAATGCCGTACCTATGATTCCCAAAAGACAAAATGCCACGTAGAACTTTGTGTAATCCAGCATATCGAACAGAAAATACTGCTACAAGAACTGAGGGAGCACAACCAGATTTAAGCGTGGTCAGCTACTTAATAAAGATGACCCTGGGCTTCATCTTTAGTTGGGAGGACATCTTCTCCCCAACTAGCACACCTTGCTAGACTGGCTTCATCTACTGTAGGCATCTCTTTACAAGCTCTGCCTCTTTTGTTCGTTTTTTTTTTTAATTAAAAAATTTCCACACAATATATTCCAATCACATTTTTGTCCTCCTCCAGTTCCCACCAGAAACTTCCCACCTCCCTACCTACCCAACTTCATCATGCTCTTTCTCCCTAATTCTCCCAATAAACAAACACCAATAAAAAGAAAAACACTCAAAACAAATGAACAAAACCCCATTAAGCTAAAAACAACGCCCAAGGAAACAAAAGCCCACGAAAAACATCTGTGGAGTCTGCTTCGTGTTGGCCAACTGCTAACAAGCATGGGAGGTTGGTGTGCCCAGTGACATCCACTGAGGCACAGAGCTTCCCTTTACCAGTGGGTTTCAGTTACAAGCAGCTTCTTGGTTAGGGGTAGAGCCCATGTCCACTTCCCCTCTTGGTGCCTGGACCTACCTCGGGCATTTCCTTTCTAGCTCTGTCTGGCTACCTTTACACTCGTTCTTCATTCGGAGTATCTTGCTACTGATGCCTTGCCCTGTTTAAACAGCCTCAAGTCTCAAGCCCGACCATTTGCATAAACACCCCTTGTTCCACAGCCTATCTACAAGTTCTTCCAGGACAGTAATTTCTCTTTGACCTCACGTTCAGTGGGACTCTGAGCTGGGTCTGTGTAATCAGGGTGTTGGACTGTTTGTCCGAAGGTTAGATCTCAGAGGCAGGACATCAGGTTTGCTGTCTCCTGCGGCTGAGCATTTGAACTGATCGCTTAAAAAAAGTGTTTGGCAGAACACATGGATGTTGTGGATATAAACATGTTTTTATTTTGGTCCCAGGTGTGGAATGTGGGACTGGTTCAGAGGCTCCACAGCAGCAGACTGCCTCATGCGGGCTCTGAGAGGAGCTCTTTGCCAGCTGCAGATAGATTAAATCCGAGGACTCTAGGAAAGAGAATAAATGCCAAAGCCTACAGAGTGGAGAGAAGAGAAAGAACAAGGCTGTTCCTGCTTCCCCATTGTTGCTGTTAGTTGCTGTTGTGAGACAAGAAGTTGGAGATCTCCTGAAATGAAGAATGGACTGGCTCCGAGGAACCTAACTAAGCAGCTAAGAAAGAACTGCACCCCCCTATCCCACTAACCCTTTCTCTTTCCTACTGGTGTGGGGGTGTTGGAAGGGATTGGGATGGAGTAGGGGAAAAAGATATAAGAAACGGAAATAAAAGTTTTTTTTTTTTTGAAGTACAACACATGGACATACACAAATAATTTATTAAAGGCAATTCAGAGGTGGCATCTCTGAACACTTAAACAAGTGTTTAATTAAGTGTTAAGTTCCTTAAAAGGTTCTTCAGAACTAGCGGAGAAGCTTTGAAAGCTTTCTGAGCACAATTTGTTTCAGGAACTCTAAAGCGCAGCCTAGAAACTGGAAAAGTTTCAAAAACATTCAGCTAACTTTGATATACATGGCTTGTGGATTACATCAAGAATTACTAATCCAATGTCAGAGCTTCATCCATAAAGTCTCACCAACATGCCTACCAAAAGATGAGCCAAACAACAATGACACCAATGGACATGCCAAAGTGGACGGGGGTGTGGGGTGGGGGAACAGCCAGACCTAACTACAGGCAACTAAGGGATGCTGAGAGAGGGGAAATCGGCTTTTCCAGGAAAGAGCACACCAACTGGCTATCCAATACCAAGTGGTCAGCCCTAAAACTATGCCCACAAGCAATGTTATATGGACTAAAGAGGTTATGTTTAGGAATGTATGTGCATACATATATGCATTCATTAACAATTAATGGGAAAAAAGAGGCTATAAATTTGAAAGACAGCAAGGAGAGGTATATAGTAGCATTTGGAGGGAGGAAAGGGAAGGAGAAAATGATGTAATTATATAATAACCCCCAAAATTTTAAGAATTTAAAGAAAAATGTAATTAAGAAAAAATCAGGAAAATGAAACAAAGGCAATTTAGATCTATGTATGTACACATAGATACATACATACATTCTATACACCAAACCTCCAGTCTAAATTCATGCTTGTTTGAATGTGTTAAGTGCACATGCTTTGGAGTCTTTCTTATCCCCTCTTTCGTTTTTAAGACATTGTTTCATGGAGCCTAGGCTACCTTCTAATTTACTGTGTACATGAGTGTAGCCTAAAACTCCTGATCACCCTCTTGCTTCAGCCTTTCAAGCATGAGCATTATGGGTGTGTATCACTGTGTCCAGCTATAACAGCTCATCACATTTCAGTAAGATATACCAGTGTTCCACCATTTCCAAGATGAATCTTCTCTCATGGGACCTTGCCAGACAGCAAGAGACAATTACATACGAAACTGAAGGAAAAAAAAATCCAAAAATAAGTTAGTGGTATTGGTTACAGAAAATTGATAAGGAGTGAAATGCCTAGATGGCAAAAGAGAGGTAGGAACTGCAAACTCAGCGCTCCAGGCCACAGATTCTTCAGCTTACGGGTGTCCAGGGGGAGCAGGGAGGAGAGAATTAAGAATAGATTTTTTCCCATTGACAACAGGAACTTGAATTTAACATTACTATCAGAGTCCGATATTCACAGCTAATCTTGGCCTTGGAGGGATTCACCAAGTGTTTATTTGTAACCCTACAACACAACACACGAAGAAGCAGAGCCATGTACCGTACAGAACAAGCTGAGCTGCTCTTCACTGTGTGACAGAGCAGAGGCCACAACACGCTTAAAACAAAGGTGCTGCTTCCTTGCACTGGCAGTGTGGGGTGGGAGGAGGTTGAACAGGGTGGAAAACAGCTTTATTCTTTGCACGGTTATTTACATATTCAAAACAATGACAGTGCTAAGTCAATTTAAAGCACTCAGCAGCTGGGCATGTGCAGGATCACACCCTTTCACCCAGCACCAAACACACTTGGTTAGGCTGAGATGCATCACAGTGCAGGGAGAGCATGCCACTCTCTGCCAGGCTCATCCTTCCCTGCACCCACTCAGACTTGCAGAGGAAGCGCTCACTAAGGCTGCTGGGCACCTCATGCAAACTTGGAAAACAGCACAGTAAAAGAACAGAAGTGGGAAGCTTCCCGCCAGTAGAGGGCAGGAGTGGAGTAGTTTGCAAGAGAGGTGGGGAACAGGGAGGGGACCCGTTGTTTTTTTTTTTTTTTTTTTTTTTTTTTTTGCTGAGCTCTGCTCTGGTCAAAGCACAGAGAGGTTGCACTCATCAATCCAAGGTTAGCACCCACAAGATGCCCAGCATGGGCTAAAAGCAGACAGCAGGCTAGGCACCAGCACACAAGCCCGTCGTACTCATCTTGGCTCTAGGGAGAAAGAAAGACAGATGACACTATCCTTTTCTCCAGAGAAATCCCCCTCTTCTCACTGGCTGCAAACAGAACATCTTACACTATGCTAGCTGACACACGCCAGTGGAAAAAGCACCAAGACCGCACGATTCTCCTTAGAGGAAGTTCCCTGTGCAGCCTGAGACAGAAGGTAACACAGTGGCAGCTGGTGAAAAGTCTGAAAAGGTGTTCAATGGAGGCATCTCCAGTTTTGCCACACAGAAAAGGAACACAGTGACAAGCTCAAATGGCCCGGAACTGAAAAATGGACCACATGGCTACACTTACATCACACATTTTACTGGGAGACATAACAGAGCAAAAGTGGGAGGGGCGTTCAGATAAATGGTGGGAGAAGGCCATTGACAACAAAGCACACAGTCCTGCTATAATCCAGGGCTGGGATGCAGCTTTTCTAGCAGAAAATCTGACCTGCCTACTCTTCTCTTTGCTCCTGCACTAAAACCAACAGCATTTCACTCTGTGGGCTGGGAGGTTTGCCAGCGTGGTACCACAGTGTGGTACCTCAGCTTGAGGAAATGCTCCTCAAACATCCTGCATCCAAGCATGTAGCGTCTGTGCCCCTGCCTCCAGCAGAGCATCCAGTCTCTTGGGGGCAGCTTCAAGCCAGCCATGATCCATGGGCAAGAGAGAGACTCTGCTCAGAGCCTCTGCTCATCTCCAGCCCCAGGCTTTCTTCCAATTCCATAGTGACCAGTCTCATAGCCAGAGAGGGAGAGACAGGCCATGGGCAGCTGCCAGGATTTGTCGTGCAGGCCAAATCTGCATGCAGCCAGGGACACTGGCATCTGCTGTTTTAGCAACATGACAGCTCATTCCTCACTGCCTCCAGACAGCTTTTAAAAAACACCCACCCACTTGAAAAGACCAAGCGAAATGAAATGTTGGAGTAGAAGGCACTCCATTCAAGTGGGTGGACTAATTTCATTTTGTTTCGGGTGTGGGGCGGGAAGTTACTCAACATGGTAAACAGGACTCCATCTGTTGACAGTTTCATTTCTCCCCTCCAAACCAAGAGAGGACTAGCCAAGCCTGCCCGCCGGAAGGTGAAGGACACGCTAACCAACTCAAATTCACCTGTCCCACTGTCACACTCAAAGTGACACTCTTGAGTTCACACAGAACGGGTTGGTGAGCAGAGAATGTTCAGTCAACAGGTTGTTCAACCAACCATCTGTAGTGGTTGAATAAAATGCTTCCAAGAATGGGCAGCAGCAAGGCAGTTAGTAACTCACTAACAAAGGACACAATACGGGCGTCCCAGGCACCACAGTTCACCCGACACAGACCTCTGCCCACTCTACACCTGCTCTGCCTCCCATCTCTCTGTCTGTCTCAAGCCAATCCTTCATGCCGTCCTGTAGCTTTATTTAACATATCCTCGCTGCACGCCTGTATAAAGTGGCGGCCTGTCACCCCAGTCTCCGGCCATGTGGGTCCCGGATTTCACTGCTTTTCCTTCCTTCCCTTGTCCACATGCAACAACGGCGTCTCGGGCACTGGGTACATGTGGCTCCTGTGTGAACATTCCGCACTCTTAGTCCAAGGTACCCTGAACCCAGGCTCCTACCACCTGTTCTACTCCTGGGGATTGTTCCCTCCTGGTGACGCCTGTTCTCTTCACTCCAATATAAAGACTCCTGTCTCAGCTACCAGCGGACTCCCAGTTGTTAATCTGAGTGGGCATTTATTTCTTCTGTGACATCCACGAAGCAGGCTTGTGGTTTAGCGCTTTCACATGCACTGCCGTCAACAGTGACAAGAATTTGGAGTTCAGAAGCTCCAGTGGGCAGGCACACCTAAGGTTACCATATACCACCAGACCCAGCCAGGACCTATCTTGAGTTCCCACCCTAAGGACCAGCACTTACTGTGTCATCTTCCAGCCTGAGCTGCAGGCTCTTATCTCCCTCTTTGTAGTCCTTGGTTAATTCGGCAGAGCGCCACACTTCATCTGGGTCAGGGATCCAGACCCTTGTGTACTGAAAGATGAGACGGAAAGAGACTTAGATACAAAACGAAACATCCAAACCTCAGAGCATGTGTCTGTATCTATAAAGGGTTTGCCGGATAATTATTTTACAGCAGCATGCACCTGTGTTTTAAAGACACAAGATGATCCAATATTATAAACAACAAATATTTCAAAGGATTAACTTAAAAAAGCAGCCTCTCAATCTTCAGAGAACGTGACAGCGGAACTAAAATTCTGCCAGGGAGACAGCCGATCACAGGCTTAGCCCTAACTATGAGGGTTTTACCTCTTAAAGGGAGACACAAGACAACAGTCAGAATGACAGAGCATGTTATAACCGACAAAACAATGCCGGCCAAACACAGGAAATCACAGCGAAGCTTCAGAGTTCCGATAGTCTACATCTGTGGAAGGGGCCAATGAGTCAAAGGCACCCTGTTAATGGTATGAATCCAAAATGTCTCCTGCAGGTTCATGTTCTAAATGATTCCGTGCCCTGGTGCTGCTAAGTCCAGGAGTCCATGGCCCCTTTAGGAAGTTGGGTCTAGCTGGAAGTGTGCTGCTAGTGGACTCGTGGGGGAGGGGAGAGAAATGTGAAGCTTATACCCACCCCACTCTCAATCCAGCCACTGTCCTCTTGTTCCATGGTCCATCATGTAAACAGCCTTAACCACACACTCAGCTGCTCTGCCATGATGACTGAGCTCTCTAAAACCATGAGCCAAAACAAATCTTTCCTTATGAAAGCTGCTGTCAGGCCTGTCACAGCCACACAAAAGCAACTAACACAAGCACCTTGAGTCATCAACTACCAACTTGTGCATTTTTTTAATTTTAATTTTAATTTTATTTTATTAATTACACTTTATTCACTTTGTACCCCCCCATAAGCTTCTTCCTCCTCCCCTCCCGGTCCCACCCTCCCTCCCCCTTCTTCATGAATTTTCCTCCCCAAGTCCACTGATAAGGGAGGTCTTTAAGCCACAAACATTACCAGATGGTCAGTCTTGCTAGCACTGCCCTGGAAATAAGTCATTCAACCTGGTGTAGCCCTGGCAAGGATGGACATAACCACTCCTGTTAAATGGCAACACAAGGAGTGACCTTCAGTGATTATTCACCGTATTCTCAGCCTGGTTACATGGTAGGATACGCAGAGAACTTTGCAAAAATCAAGTCGAGGTTAACCTCAGATCAGGTCAGTCAGGATCGGAGGTGACATGACAGTTCCTGAGGGGTCACCAAGCACACAGAATGGCAGCACCCAGACCCACTGCCGTCACTCCTGCCAGACAAGCTGCTAAGCTATGGCTCAGGTGAGAGATTTCACAGGGTCTGTTTGCTCTAGAAGCATCTGTGTGCACCTGTGCATACACACACTCCATCGCTGGGTCACACCAAATTCTTAACGAACTCACCTGGTCCTTCGGTCACACATCAACTCACAGCCAGGCAGCCGCTGTGTGTGCTGTAATCACTCAGCTTTCTTTGGGTCCTGCCTTTTTTTTTTTCTTAAGCCTATGCTTTCTCCTAGTGATACTATCCTTTTATAAAACCAAGATCCTGACTGATGCTCCATTTGTCCCTAACTCACCACTGAGACAAGTCCTATGGAAACAGGATCAGAACATGAACAAGAAGAAAGAAAATATCAGCACACCCTTGACATCTCAGCCCAGGGTTGGCCAACAGCCATTTTTTTTTTTAACTTAGAGAAACAAATCCACAGACCCATACTCCCTATGTCTCCGGGCCCACCTTACCGTGTGTTTATAGAACAGCAGAGTGGAGTAGAGTATGGTACAGTGAAGCACAGCTCACAAGACCACTGTACAGTGTCTCTCATTTTCCAAGAAGCATGGAGCAAACAGCCTTTTTCCTCCTCCGCCGCCAACATTTCTTCTCCCCTCCAGTGTTTGCACTTAGCTTCTCCACTGTCCGTTAAGGCCACCATCCAGCCAGCAGCAATACCAGGAGGGTGCTGCTGTCTGAGACTTCGGTCAGTGGCCTTTCCTCAGCCACCCCCAAGTTTTCTCTGGTCGTTGTGTTCCCTCTGGCAGTACACCCAAAAGTTTTAGTCGAAACGAACCTTAGAATGGGCATGGCCCACAGAAGTTGCACATAACAGAATGAGAAATGACTGCAAGGAGTGGAGGCTGTGTCCAGTAGGAGCCGAGTGGAGGTGATGGAGGTGATAAACATTGGGCCTGCTGAGGCTCAGCCAGCGACTCCTGTGCCCTAGCCTGCTGTCCATGTGCCACTCACTGCACTGAGCACTGCAGGGAACTCACTACCTGGCTCCCTCAGTTCATTCCTACTCTGGGTGACTTCATCTTTCTACCTATGTATCTCTGTCCTTGCTGAACAGGCTGGAAGCACCCAGTGGGCAGAAAATCCTGACCTCTGTAACGCCTAAGCATCAGAGAACAGTGGGACTCTTGGGGTTCTCTATTTGGTTCCTTTTTCCTCCTTGTAAGGGCTTTAGCATCACTATCAGCCAGAGCCATGCTAGAAATGCAGAACCTCAGCCTCTCTACTGAGACCTACTCAGTCAATACCCACACAGCCACACACTAACGTCTGTCCTGACAACATGCTCTCACACCATTACCTCACACAAAGGCACCAGCAAACTACAGCCATGGGCCGAATCTGGCACCAGGCCTATTTGTGTTTGACCTGTGAGTTAAGAATTGCCTTTAAACTTTCAAATGAGAGGATCAAAAGACTGACATCCAAGGAACGTGAAACATTTTATGAAAGGTTAATTTTGGTGCCTACAACTACTGTTATTTTGGAACAGAGATATGCTTACTCATTTACATATTATCTGACTGCTTTTACACTTCAGTGATGGAGCGGTCAGGAATCCCACTGCCCAATGCCTAAAGTGTATCACATGACTTTGACAGGAGGGTATGTCAACTCTAGTCTGTACTTCCCGTATTCTTGAGCCAGACTGTCCATTCCTCACACATGTATATGGACAGAGTCCCAATTCTGACACCTTTTTGCTGGATGCTACCATCACCGAGTCAGCCCTTGAGCTGCCACAGTCTGTCCCTGGTTAGCTTTCTTTCTGGCTTCACAGTCTTTTCTTTCAAGTGAGTGTCATCTCATCATTGCAAGATCTTCTGGACACACTGCTGCGGACCATGCGTCCTCCGGCTCCAGTGCATCTGGTAGATGTGCTCGGTGATCAGGAATGGAATGTGTCTCACAGGGGGACCTGGCTTCACCTAAAACACATTGCCCTGGCCACTACCACCATCACTGACAGACATGGAACTCTGTTCCCAAGCTTCGGGAACCTAGCTAGTAGGGCAGGTGAAGCCCATCAAAACACTGTCGAAGGGGTGAAGTGACAACTAAGAAGAGTAATAGTCAGTGCAGAAGAGGCAAGGAAGGGCAGGGAAGATAATGCTGGCTGAGAAAGAAGAATGGGGCAGCTGCCTTCTTAGGCGGCTTTTAGAAAGACCGTGCATATTCAGATCTTATTGCGCAAGCGTCAGACTAAAAGCCAGTAAACACTTGGCACCTATCTGTGCCCACTTGCTATCCTAAAACTTCTTCGGTCTCCCTCCACTAATGACCTGTGTGGACGCCTTGACCTTACAGCAGTTCACTGCTAAGCCAGTAACATTTCCCGTGTTCTGAAGGCAGGGTGGCTGCATGTGCAGGCTGGCCTCCGTGTGCCTCCTAACCCCCTACGTTTATCCTCCTACAAATTCAGTAAACAGGGTCATTCACCCAACATCATACTCAGCACACACAGTTGGCAATTCACAGGATGTGTTCAAGGGTGATTTAAACAGTCTAGCTTTGCAAACAAAGCCCTCCCCAACTGGTCCTCATGACTTAGGATGCATGGTCTCTGAAATGTGAACAAAGTACTATCACACAAAATAAACAGAAAAAAAAAAGCAGATACACAAACTGAAAAGGGAGAGATAAGTGCTAAGTAACTAGCAATGACTTGAGAAGGGAAGAGCGCCAGGAGTGATAGAGGTTGGGGCGGAAAAGGGTTTGAAGGCGACATCTCCTTTCAGAGTGCTGCAAACGCTACCCAGTTAGACAGAGTGAATGCACTAGGTGTGACTTAGATTGGTTCCTTTCATAGTCTGCTCATTTCTTCTCATGTAAAACAATGTGAATGTAAAACCTGGAGTAACTGGAGAAACCAGAAAAGTAAAGAGACCTGGTGCGAGGAGCAACAGGGAGGAGCATAACAGGGTACAAGTGATGTGAAGGTGGAAAGGATCAAAATGGAGAGATAAATACAGTAAGGATGTATGAAAAAGTGATAAGGAAGCATACTATTATCTGCCTACCTAAAATTACATGTAATATTCATGTCTGTGTATACATGCACAGTTTAAATGAAATCTTCCCATGCAAGCTGACAATGCTCTCTCTATGAGCTATCACTATCTAACAAAAAATCCCAACACTAAGCATGAGATTCCCCCTTAAGATGTTGGTCAAAGTTGTTCAAGAGATTCCCAGAATATTATGGGCTATTGCCCTTGGTTGCAACCCCAGAGATGAAAGATAAGTCCCTATTGTTGAAGACATCATGCAGTTCAGATACGTGACCCAGAGGGCCTGAGCTGGAATTGACCTAAAAAAGCCACCTCCCTGAGGACTAGCTTTTCAGAAGGAGCCATGCAATCTTCCAAGGGAAAAGAGAAATAGTCTTTCCCAGAGAAGAGCCAAACAATTGGTTATTTAATATCAATCGGTCAGCCCTGATATCATATACATACAGGTAACATTATAGGCTGAGTCGGTTGCAGTTGTATATTAAGAAATATATATATATATATATATATATATATATACACACATATATATGTAACAACAACTAAAGAGACCACAAATTTGAAAGGGTGTGTGTGTGTGTGTGTGTGTGTGTGTGTATGTTAGAGGAAGAAAAGAGAAGGGAAAATTATGTAATAATAAAATTTCAAAAACATAAAAATTTACAAAAATAAACAGCAACTGTGA